AGAAAATGCTTTCAGAGAAAATGTTTCAACCAAACCTGTTCCCACACACCCCGCCCCCACTACCATTAGAATATACACAAACATTTTAGACCAACGGACCACGAGTGCCCCTGTCGGTCAACCAATCACGCACTGCGGTATCGCGTGTCATCATACCTGCGGTATCTGTACTGCGGTGTCTGTACCGCGCACTTTGAATGGCTGCATCTGTAAATAACTCAGTGCTTGACTGAAGGTAAACTGAGTGAATCATTACAGTTCAAATAATGTCTTCCAGTAACACAATCTCAACAATTCAGAACTACATTATTTAAAATGTTATAGTCTTAAGTAAACTAGATGATATAGACAAATATACTTTATTTCTATTAAATACCAGATTCCATTCATGTCTCATCATTAGGGTTGTGGAAAAAAAAAGTTTAAATTTGAATCATTAAGATGTACTGCAACCTTCTACTGCAGATGCTTATAGCGAAGAATCATTGGTTACAATTCTTTCTGTAGTATAAAGAGAAAAGTGTATAACTTTAAGTGTTATTAAAGATTTTATTTTGTATTATATTAGAGATTATAAACTATATAGTATGTAGTGCAATACTAACCATATTGGAGATACTTAGCTATTTAGCTTAAAAAATACATTTTACTAAAATGCATTTTTGTAACAAAGTTTTGTTCCTGATAAATAATAAGAACTATCTTAAATTGGCTACTGACCTACAGTATACATAAATCTATACCTCTAAGTAATTTACAAACCAGAAGTTATCAAAACCAAATTCATAGCCTTAATGCAATCAATCTTAAAAAACAAACATCAAAAAGACTTTTCCAGCATTCCAGTTTTATGTTTTATTCATGTCATTTTTACATTTGAATATAATCATCTAGCTTACAATAACAATAACAAGCTCTATCTAGACTTAAACATGACTTTTAACAATAAGCCCTATCTAGACCTGAACATTTAATTAATACCACACAGATTATTATATTACTATATTATATATTACACAGTGTAGTGTAAGCATTAGAGTGAGACTTTCTTTCACATTGTACTTGTTGATTCAATGAGATGAGAAAGAAAAACTATAAGAAAAATGGATTTAAGAAACTCATTTCTATTACTTTCCAAATTTTGTTTTGTATTTTGACACTATCAACAATATAATATTATTGGATAGATCCCAAACCTTTCGTTTTTTTTCATTTTTTAAAGATTTCCTCTGTCATATGTGCAGTGCACAGTCTTTATAGGGAAAAAGTAGTTTAAATTGGTTTAAATTTAAAAGAAAATCAGAAGAAAAAGCAATAAACTTATTCCAGCAAAAGGCTGGCTTCATTGACTGCATCATTGTAATTGCACATCAACCCTTATCTCAAAGATATATATTTATATTGAAATATAAAATACATAATATATTTATATAGCTGGTAGTGGTAATTGAAAATAAAAAATAAGGTAAAAACAATATTCCACTTTCTTCCTAAACATCTGCATAGGATTCTTTAACTCGGTCACTTGTGGTTATTTTGGAAAAGTTTGTTTTAACTACAATTCCCATGAATTTGCAAGGTTTAAATTAATAACAACAAAGAGCATATGATTGAACAAACATAAGTACTTATAAACCAGCAAGGATGGGACCTGCAGGAACTCTGGATTTCATTTGTTCACTGAGTGGTGAAGGCCCAACTGTAAAATTATTTTAATTCACAAGGACTTATATTTTATTTGTAACAATAAATCATATATAGTATTTTAATCACATCATTTTGCTTGTTGTTTATTATACAAAATTAGGAATTTTTGCTCATATTCCTGAAAATTTACATTTTAAATATGACTTTTATTTTAAAAAAGGGTAGTACCACTATGTTGTTTGTGATTTTATATTTAATACATTTTTAATCTAGGTTCCTCTTATATAAAAACAAACTTAAAATAAAAATAGGTCAAAGGAATTGCTATAATTGCTTTTTAGTGACAAACAG